ACAACAGCATCAAGAAGATGCTTAGGAATTAACCAAGGAAGTGAAAGTTTTGTACAATGAAAACTATAAAATATTTCTAAAAGAAATTTTAAAAAGACATAAATAAATAAGAAGACATCCTATATTCATAAATTGGAAGACTTAATATTGTTAAGATGTCAATACTACTCAAAGCAATCTACAGATTTAACAGAATCCCTATCAAAATCCTAATGATGTTTTTTGCAGAAATAGAAAAACCCATCCTAAAATTCATATGGAATCTCAAGGAACCCCAAAGAGCCAAAACAATCCTGAAAAAGAAGAACAAAGTTGGAGTGCTCACATTTCCTGATTACAAAACTTACTACAAAGCTACTATAAGCAAAACAGTGTGGTACTGGCATAAAGACAGACATAACAGAACAATGGAATAAAATAGAGTCCAGAAATAAACCCTTGCATATATGGTCAAAAAAGATTTTCAACAAGTGTGTCAAGGCCATCAATGTATAGAAAACACCGCTTTCAACAAATGGTGCTGGGAAACCATTTGGACATCCACATGCAAAAGAATGAAGTTGGACCCTTACCTAACACCATATGCAAAAATTAACTCAAATGGGTCCATGACCTAAACGTAAGACATAAAACTACAAAACTCTTAGAAGAAAATATAGGACAAAAGTTTCACAACACTGGATTTGGCAGTGATTTCTTGAACATGACACCAAAGGCAACAGGCAACAAAAGAAAAAATAGACAAATTGGACTTCATGAAAATTAAAAATTTTGTGCAACAGAAGACAGTAGCAACAGAGTAAAAAGGCAATTCACAGAATGGGGGAAAATATTCACATATCATATATTTGATAAGAGATTAATACCCAGAATATAGAGAAAGCCCCTGAAACTCAACAGCAACAAAGAAACAAACAACCTGATTCAAAAATAGGCAAAGGACTTGAATAGACATTTCTCCAAAGAAGATATGGAAATGGCCAATAAGTACATGAAAAAATGTTCAACATCACTAATCATTAGTGATTATACAAATCGAAATTACAATGAGATACCACGTCACACCCATTAAGATGGCCACTATAAAAAAAAAAAACGCAGAAAATAACGTGTCGACAAAGATGTGGAGAAATTGGAACCCTTGCGCACTGTTGGTGGGAATGTAAAATTGTAGAGCTGCTGTGCAACACAGTATGGAAGTTCCTCAAAAAATTAAAAATAGAATTACCATGTGATATAGTTATTCTACTTCTGAGTGTATACCCAAAAGAATGGAAAGCAGGGTCTCAAAGAGATATTTGTACACCCGTTTTCATAGCAGCATTATTTGTAATAGCTAAAATGTAGAAGCAATCCAGTGTCCATTGACAGATGAATGGATAAGCAAAATGTGGTATTTACATACAATGGAACATTATTAGGTGTTAAAAAAGAGGGAAATTCTGAGATACGCTACAACATGGGTGAACCTTGAGGACACTATGCTAAGTGAAATAAGCCAGTCACAAAAAGATAAATACCATATGATTCCACTTATATGAGGTACTTAGAGTAGTCAAAATCATGGAGACAGAAAGTAGAATGGTGGCTGTCTGGGGCTAGAAGGAGAGGAGAATGGAGAGCATTCAGTGGGTATAGAGTTTCAGTCTTGCAAGATGAAAAGAGTTCTGGAGATAGATGGTGGTGATGGTTGCACAATAATATGAAGGTATTTAATACCGCTGAACTCTACATTTAAAAATGGTTAAGATAATTAATTTTATGTTATATGTATTTTACCAAAATTTTTTAAAAATAGAAAAAAATTTAGTGTGGCTCCAGCTAAAATATTATGTACAGCAATAAGTTACCAGACATATTCTGAATACTTCGTAGCTTCCAGTGTATATTTATCTTTACCAGTATCCCTCACCAATGGATAACGTAGCATCTCAAAACTAAAATTTATTAAAAACTACTTAATATCTAAAATGTTATAAGAAAGTTAATATAGAAAATAAGATATTAGAGCAGCATATAAAAATGAGGTAATGGAGAAATAAACATTGAAACTGTCATGAAAACAAGATATGTAACTGTTCTATAACAAATCGCTGTATTCTAGTTTCTTTACTAGGATTGACAATTAAGAATACTCTAACTTGAAATTTTTTACTTGAGGAAATGGTGCTTTTTTTTTTAAATCAAACAAAGGTGCCAAAATCTCATGGTGGTAGCAGCAGGAATAGCAGAGAACTTGCTTAGTTGAAAAGGGAGAATTGCGTGGTAATGAGAGACACTGAGCAAAGAGGAAGGGAGTCTGCGAGTCCCTCTCCCATCTGATGACCATGATGGAAGGCCCGCCATGTGAGCAGGTCAGGTGAGAGCAATGCATTAAAACCTTGTGTTTAGTCACTCATTCACAAAACATTTATGGCACACCTACAATGTACCAGGCACTGTCTTAGGGATACAGAAGTAAGAAATGTTTTCTTTGCTTGATACACTCATAAAATAGCTCAGGGGACAGCTGGAGGGTAACTAGTTGCAATACTATGAGAAAAATTCTCTAATGTACTTCTGTTAAAGTACAATTGAATCACATAATGGGGATCAACCACCTCTGAACCAGTTTCACGGAGGAAGAGGTGTTTGAGTTGGATCTGAAAAGATGGAAGATGTTGTGCATGAGGCCAATATCATAGGATACATGTAACTGGTTGTTTTGAGAGTCCGAATTAATCATTTTGGTGAAGCTGTTTACAAAAACTTATCAATTATGAAGGCTTAAGCTACAAGTAACAAAAACTCAGACACAAAATTGTTTAAATGATAATGGAATTTATTAATTCACATAATAAAAATTCCAAAATAAAGTGGTCTTCAGTTCCTCCCACTTTCCACTCTGCCATCCCCAGTTTGGCTTCATCTCTGAGTTGGTAACACAGTGGATGCAGCAGTTCTCAATACCATTTGTTAATGTCCTCCAGTCATCTGAGTCAATTCTGACTCCCAGTGACCCTGTGGACAGCAGAGCAGAACCATGCCGGGTCTTTTTGTGCCATCCTCTCACCTTCTGGTGCTGGATCAGACAACGCTCCACTGCTATTCATAGGTTTCATGGCCAATTTGTTCAGAAGTGGGTGGCCAGGTCCTTCTTCCTAGTCTGTCTAGTCTGGAAGCTCCAATGAAACCTGTCCACCATGGGTGACCCTGCTGCTATTTGAAATACCAGTGGCATAGCTTTCAGCATCACAGCAACACGCAGCCAACATAGTATGACAACTGACAGATGAGGCTTGTGGTTCCCTGACCTGAAACAAACCTGGGCCTTGGTGGTGAGAGCACCGAATCTTTACCACTAGACCACCAAGAGTTGGCTTCTAAATATCATACAAGAAAGCAAAATGTGCATCCCTCTAGCTCTCTCGTAGGGGTAAGGAAATTTTATAGAATCCAGAAATTTGATTTTCCCTTTTGTCATGGGCCAACTGAGTTCTAAAATGGGCCACAGGATTGATTTCTGAATCAATCAATGGCAGGGAATTGGAACAAAGATGGTTACACTCATGGGAAACCTTTGTCACACTGCCCCACTGGCAATCATGCATAGCTATGTATGCTTGCTCTTTCAAGCAGAGACTGCATACCCATCTAGAACCAGTAAAGCAAGGTCTAGTCGCTTGTTCTTTATTTGAACATCACCTCTGAGTGCACTCTCAACTGCTAAGGCACTTATTTCTAGCACAAGTCTGTTTCCTGTTTCCTCCAGTTTTGATGGGTTATTTGCTTTCCTCAGTTTCTTCCAGTTGCTCTTCTCCTGTTTTGCCCTCTAGATATTTTAACAAAAATACAATGCTGTAAACCTATAAAGACATTGCATTATAAATTTCTTCCTTATATGTTTTCATCAAAAGAAATTCTTTATCCAACTTAAGTTATAACTGTGATGCCAAAACATCATTCTTTTTTTTAACTTCTTTTTTCTACAAAGAGATGGTTTGAATAAATATCTCTTTGAATTGAAGGAATATTTGACACAGGCAGGTAATAGTATAACTATTCTTCTTCTGGTGCCTGGCACTCGCCTTATCCAGCCTTCTCCAAAACAGCTGGAATTCAAAGCTGTCATATAAATCTACAGCCTCTGAATCTAGTCCTTCTTAGTAAATTCAGTACCTGCCAAGTCCACTTCCATTACTTGGGTTGCATAAGATGATTTCAGAAGTAATTGCACAGAGATTTAAAATATCTGCTGCCTTTATCTTTCTTTTAGAATGCAGATATCAAAATACCATATTTCTCCCTAAAACTTCCCCTCACAATTTCAAGTGGTATCTTTTAATATCAAGATTACTTTGTAAGCCTAAATGATGAATTTTCCAAGCTTTAGCTCCATCTCCTTTTTAGGGCTTAAATCCCAAAACACTGTTCAACGGGAATCGTTACCTCTCTTCCCAGTATACAATTACTCTTGATTAACTGCAATGATAATGTTAATAATACCCTACACCTCACTCCAAGCAACTGTAGACATTTCAGGTACATTAAACTAATATCAACTCATCAGGCCTGCAAGGAAGGGAGGGGAAGACATTATTTTAATGAAGAGGGGACTCTGGCACCATGACTTGTCCAAACAAAAAACAGTTGAGCTGGACCAAGCAAAGAAGTCCTTGTATCAGGTGGGAGAACACCTCAGCCAGGTGTTCGTTAGACATTTGTTGGGATATTCCTTCAACGCTGACTCAGCACTCATAGGCAAAAGGCTGTTCTCTATTGAAAATTGCCTCCATTCCACAAGTAATATTTATCAGGTGACTCTCGGAGTGTAAATCTCTTTGCTAGAAGCTATAATCATTGACTTAAATTCAACTTTACATGTTAATTTTCTGTTTCTTAATTTGGAGGTAAATAAAATCAGTTGATGCTAGTGCCTAGAATATTTGGTCCTGCTGCTGTCCATTGGCTGCTTCAGAAGAGTCATGTGATGAGGATGCCTGTTAAATTAAGATACTGGTAGCACTGTATTGCCTGAGTTTCTTTGGCTTTTGGTCGTGAATGCCTCTTCTCTGCAAGCTTTCCATCATGATTGAGCCCTTCTTGGGAACCTGGAAGCTTGTCTCCAGTGAAAACTTTGAAGAATACATGAAACAACTGGGTGAGAAATACTATTACAAGATTTGGAAACTGGCAATGCATCTTGTGTTGGGTTTGCATTTTACAATGAATTTTCTTACAACTCTTTCTTTCTTTTGTGATCCTAGGGCATGTTCGTATGAAATTAGCAAAGTTTATGTATCTACTTTTGCTTCTTTTTATTACTAGTAATAATTATCTCTTTTTGGAATAATAGGCTCACAGATACTTCCTTCTAGTCATTATCCATATATTTAATCCCATTTATCCTTTCGAAAATACTTCATCCTAGTGCCTCAATAGAGTTTCTCTTTGGCTTGGTCATTTCATCAAATAACTTTTCCAAGCTTCAAATTTATAGACAGTAACAACTATCTATAATTAAATTTATCAACTAAATTTGTTTCAAGGTTTTCTTTAAGTTATAACTTGAAAGAGCAATAGCAACAAACGAAATTTCTAGTTAGTTAATTTTTAGGTTCTGATATACATGGGAGATGCTTTCAAAACATTATTTTGAAGAATTTCACATTTTTGATTGGAGAGATGGAATGTTTTTACTTGTGGAATGTCTCACCATTGGGTATTTCTCAAAGGTATAAACCCAATCCATCTTTAGTTCTTAGTTCGGTTGATTAAACATATTACAATGGCAAAACTATAAACAACTAAACTATTCTTTACTAATGCTAGAAGAACAGTAATTAATATTTAATTAAGTGATTTTTAATATTTAATTAAAAGAAACCTCTCTTGCAATAAAAAACTGTATATAAAGTCAAGAATTTGGGCCAGCTGGGTGGCATAGCAGTTGAGTTAGTACGTTCCGCTTCAGCAGCAGGGGTTCGCTGGTTCGGATCCTGGGCTCGGACCTACTCACTGCTCATCAAGCCATGCTGTGGTGGCATCCCACATAGAAGAACCTACAACGAGGATATACAACTATGTACTGGGGCTTTGGGGAGAAAAAAGAAAAAGAGGAAGATTGGCAACAGGTGTTAGCACGGGGCCAATATTCCTTAAAAAAAAAAAAAGTCAAGAATTTTTTTAAGCTTACCATTTTTTAACTTGGCAGAAATGATCAATGAATAATAAGAAGTCAATGTCCTCATAGTGTAATATTTATTCCTTTTTCATAGTCTGTATTAACTCTCTCAGGGAGTAATCAGAAACATGTTTCCCTACCTATTCACAGATTCGTAGACTCACTTGCTTTGAGTTTAAATTTGGGAGCATCCAAGAAACTTGGGGCTTATGGCGAGAGTAGCACTTGTTTGGATTGGGAGCTGGGCTTAGGCAGAGGGCAAGAGGGAAGAACAGCCGAGCACCTACCACGTACTACTATGATGCTAAATCCTTATTTAATCTCCCAACACACCTGTGAGGTGAGTACTATAGTTATCCACGTTTTACTATTGAGAAAGCTGAAGGTTAGAGAAGGAAATAATATCCCACGCCAGCACGTGGTGACGCTGGAGCCCGGGTTTTAACCACCTCACTGTTCCCTCTTCTGTGATCCACATCTAACATCTAACACTGCTTCTCTGCGGTCACCTGCATCCCATCGGTTCCACAATCTGAATGTGAAATCAAGTTTGATATGGAAACTGCGAGAGGGGTGGGCTCCTCTGTCCACCTAGTGCAGGAGTCAAGTTTGACCACGGACAATCCCCGACCCGAACAACAGGCTCAGGCTCCGAGCCACGCTGTCCAGTTTGCCTACTTCCTCTTTCCTCAGCCAGATCTGAGTTTAATCTGCAAGTAAGAGAGGAGCTTGGACTTTAGAAGTCATATTCTTTTACTTTGAAAATTGTATTTCTTGGTTTTTTAAGAAAAAAAAATATGCTGAAGTTCTTGGACAATTAGAAACTTGTGTTTCAATCTCAGCTCTGCTACTTAGCAGACACATCACCTAAAATAAGGCTCTCCACCCCTCTGGAACACAGTGTACTTGTCTCTAAAATGAGGGTAACAACACCCCCTGCACGTTGTTGTAACACTTCCCGAGGTAAAACTCAAGCATCTGATCACCTGAAAGACACTATACAAACGTGCATTTTAGATGAAGCGTAAGAATCTCCAAGATTTTAGATGAAGCACAATAGACGCTAAAAGTGAATTTAGCTTTTCAAAATGTCAAGTATAATTACTAGATATACCTTCTGATTGGGAGGGTCTGGCTCAATCCAACTATCACAAAGAGCATTGAAGAAATTACAGCCCATTATCCAAAACTGCAAAGGGGGAGGTATGCGGTCTTTTTATTGCTTTCCAAAAGGATTTTAGCACTTCTTAAATGTCTTAAGAAGGTGGTTGCTTTCTCTGTCTTACAGGAATGAGTGTTACAGCCCGGAACCTGGCGGGGTTAGCGAAGCCGACAATCATTATTAGTGCCAGTGAGGACAGGGGGAACATCAAAACGGAAAGTTCTTTCAAGAACTCAGATCTCCTTTAAGCTGGGAGAAGAATTTGATGAAACCACTGCTGACAACCGGCAAGTGAAGATAATAGCTAAATCTTCTTGGTGTTGCACAATCAGGAAAAAAACTAGAAACTGGTTCGGCATGGTTTATTCATACCTAATTTGATTAAGTACCAAGTCAGTTTGGGCTTGTTGTGTTAATTATATTGTACATCTCTAAAGTCAGCCCTTTTGCAAATTATTCTGATGGTTAACTGGGCCAAAAAATTCAACATATTTTCACTTCTTTTCTGATCTCTCTTTGTCATTGTATAAAAGAGCATATAGAAAAGAACAATTATTCACAAATAGTTTAGGTAGTGTTTGCCTGGGGGAGGAACACACTAATTGAATAGAGATTTCTCTAGTTTAATGGTATTAAATTATGTTAAGAACTGAGGTGAGGATTTTGGAGGAAAGAATTTTAAAACAGAAGTTAAAAAGTAGATGCCAATCTTATGTAGGTTAGAATGTAGTGAATTGCTATTTCTAACTGATTCATTTATGCATTTATAGAGCATCATAACAGTAGATGGTGGCTCAATGATTCATGTCCAAAAATGGCTTGGTAAAGAGACAACAATCAAAAGACAAATTGTAGATGGAAAAATGGTAGTGGTGAGTTTTCTCTAAAATGAATTTTTAGATGCTTCTATTCGATGCATGCCTTTCAAGTCCTTCAGTTGTTCTGTATCCTGAATTGAGGGCCTGAGGAAAGAGGGGTAGAGCAAGTTTAACCTGTCATCTACCCGCTCTAATAGATCCCCCTTTGCTTTTAGAAATATACCGTGAATAATACTGTCAGCACTCGAGTTTATGAAAAGGTATGAAGAAAGAGTCTACATCAGTGAAAACACGTTCACTAACGGGAAACTGGGACTTGAAGACGATGCCTCAGGGCCAGCGATTAAAAAAAATTGCTTAACATAAATTTGTTCAATAAAGCCATCAAATTAAGTGCAGTTTTGGAGCTGTGTGATGTTGAGGGTTGGGGACAATCTGAGAAATTAGTGAGGCAAGAAGCTACTTGCCTATGGTGTTACTGTAAGAACATCAAAGCCCCCTCAGCCTCTGCCCACTTGACTTCTGCAGTCCTTGAGTTCACTCCAGTGGACCCATTCCATCTAGGGTAAGCCATTCTGTCAACAGCGCTCTGTTGAAATTCATGTGACCTCCAGGGGGATACATTAAAGTCATCCGAATCTACTTCGGGCAACACAGATTTTGAAAACTAACATTGCTGACTTTTTATTTTTGCAGAAGGCTAGCTCTGCTTAAAGTAGTTAAAATAAATAGATAGGTAGGTAGGTAGGTAGGTAGGTAGATAGATAGATAGATAGATAGATAGATAGATAGATAGATAGATAGATAGATAAATAGATAGAGTATAAAATAGAGCCTGGACATTATACACTGTGGTTGAATTATTATAGAAGAATATTTAAAACAATCATTGTCTTATTTATCCATAAACCCATTTAAAATAATCAGACCAGTGCAACTGTTACCATTGTTGACAACTTAGTCTTTGCAGAATGACATTTTATTAAATGCTAGTCCTGAATTTCTAAATGCCTAGTTAGAGTATAATAAACCTACAGTGTCCCTTAATGGTTTCACCAAGTACTGTTGCTATAAAGTACATTCAGGGCTTAGAGCAAAATAGAGTAATATAGGTAAAATGAAAGAGTAAATTCTAAGACACGAAGAGTGTCTTACAAATACCTAAGGGTATTTGTAACAGTGGGAGAAAGAAAAGGAGAAAGAGGGAAGAATTATGTAAATATCGTGTTGCACCTTGAATTTAAAAATAGATAGTAATCAGCCAAAAATAAGTCCTGAGAATCATATTTAATATGTGCTAAAGGAGAATGTTCAAGTAATTTGTCATCTAAACCGGGTGAGAAGTGAAAAGTGGAAAGGGGCACCATCTATAATTACACCTGGACTACAGACAAACATGGGACAGTTCTTGGCAAATTGGAGGGTATGGTCACCTTGGTAAGGAGGAAATTGAAGGGTAATGTGGAAAAAGACTGAGCATGGTTTGGGGCAAGAACTGAATCCCTGGCCAAGGAAAGGAACGAGGGCTGTCATATTAAACTCTGAGACCTCTGAGCATACAGTGATGCACCTGAAGAGACGGGCTTGGCGGTGGCCACCCAGCTGTCGGATGTAGGCAGTGACAGTCATCCCCATGTGACTTGTCCCTGTCCTTCCTAAAGGACTCAAGTGTGTACAAAATGTAACCACGCTTGCTCTCCAGAAGGCAAAGAGGCCTCCAACCCCCAAGGTAGTGTCTTTTGCATGAAGGGGAGCACAGGCCGTGCCTCCATCATCAGAGGACAGTCTCTGCAAGGGGGCTGCAGGTGACAGCCCTTCAGCAACACCGCTGGTCAGGGCTTGAAGTGTTTTCTACAGCCGTTAGGAAGAAGATAGTACTCTAAAACGCACCAGGCACTTACTCATTTAAGTCTTTGGCTTTACAGAGGCATAATTAAGAAGAGAAGAATACAGTTCTGAATTGTCAAGACTTACTTGACTTCTCATAAATGTCACAGCTCAAAGTACAAAGAACCTAAATGAGAAACAAAATCCTGATGTTGAGTCTTTAGTAGATAGACTCAAACATACTATTCCTGAGGAAATCATTCATTCAGCAAGTTCTTACTCAGTGACCACTGTTTGTTCAATACCGTATTAGGTCTGAAAAACAGCAACGAGTTAGACATGGAATTCACAACTGCCTCATGATGTTACAAGTAGCAGAGGCGTCTTGAAACCCTGTTGCTTTTATTTTTATTCTCAGTAAAATCATATCAAAATTTCTGTTAAGAAAAAAATTCTTTAAAGTTTATGCTTATAATCATTAGTCTTTCCTAAGCACTTTCCCATGATCAGTATCTTGGTATATCTGACTTGCCTTCAAAAGTCATTATCTCTCTGTACGTAAATAACAGGTCGTATTTGTCAAGTTGTGTTGGAAATAAAGGAACTTTTCATTGTAGTAGGTTGAGCAATAAAAAGCCATTATTTATTCACTCTCCAAAAGGGTTTGAAATAAAGGGAATGAAAGTAGGTTTTATTAGCCACACAGAAAATATATTTTATTTTTGAAAAGATTAGCCTGAATAACTTAGTTGTAAACCATTATATTTCAAATGCACACTGAAGTTTGTAGGAAAGTATTAATTATCCAAAGAGTAATCATACTAACCCATGATTAGTACTATTATCAAAGAACAATTCACCAGATTTCTTTTGTTGTTGTTGTTGAGGAAGATTGTCCCTGAGCTAATATCTGTGCCAGTCTTCCTCTGTTTTGTATGTGGGTCACCGCCACAGCATGGCCACGAGTGGTGTAGGTCCAAGCCTGGGAACTGAACCCAGGCTGCCAAAGTGGAGCATGCCAAACTTAACCACTAGGCCACAGGGCTGGCCTCATCAGATTTCTTTTTTTGCTATGCAATACTATTTAGTAAATCACCCACAAAAAATAATCTGTTTTGGACATTCTTAGTGTATTTAATTTTCATACATTTTGCAGAAAAATGCAATAAACATAAAAAGACATGCTTCTCTTTGGCCATAAAAAGACAACTGACTATTCCAAAGATAGTAACCAAAAATAAATGGAAAATTAGGATGAAGTATTAGGACATAACCTAATCCCCAAGGTGTAGATTATTAAGATTTCTATTTTGAACATTTAGAGGAAAATGTAGTCTGTCCATTTGGAATTTTGGTATCTAGATCCTGTGTAAATTTTGGCAAGGTGGGGAGGGACGATCTATCCGCAGCCCCATGATAGAATGGGACTTGTCTGTTGCCCCAGAGACACACCACGGTGAAGTGGAACGAATAGGGTTTGAGAACAAATCAGAGCAGGACTTGAATCTTCCTTCTGCCATAGACAGCTATGTGAGCACACATGAGCTCTTAACCACTTTAGTTTTCTCCCTTGCAAGATAAAGGTTATCTACTTCACAGGTTGTGGGGAGGGTAAATCAGACCGTACGCAATGGACCAGCACAAGGAATTCGTCATGTTGTCTCATTTTTCCCGCACTCCCCTCCCAGATTATAGGCATACCTCAGAGATATTGTGGATTTGGTTCTACACCACCAGAATAAAGCTAAGATCATAATAATATTTTGTTTCCCAGTGCATATAAAAGTCATGTTTACACTACACTGTGGTTTATTATGTGTAATAGTATTATGTCTTAAAAAAACAATGTACACACCTTAATTAAAAAATACTTCACTGCTAAAAGGTACTAACCATCATCTGAGCCTTCAGTGAGTCATAATCTGCTGTGAGATGTTGATTGCTGCTGACTGATCAGGGAGGTGGTTGCTATTGAAGTTTGCTGCATCTATTGACTCTTCCTTTCACAAACAATATCTCTATAGCATGCGATGCTCTTTGATAACATTTGACCCACAGTAGAATTTCTTTCAAAATTTCTTTCAACCCTCTCAAACCGTGCTGCTGCTTTATAAACTAAGTTTATGTAATAATCTAAATCCTTTGTCATCATTTCAATAATCTTCACGGTATCTTCACCAGGAGTAAATTGCATCTCAAGAAACCACTTTCTTTGCTCATCCATAAGAAGCAACTCCTCATCTGTTAAAGTTTTATCATGAGATTGTAGCAATTCACTCACATCTTCAGCATCCACTTCAAATTCTAGTTCTCTTGCTATTTTCACTACACATGCAGTTACTTCCTCCACTGAAGTCTTGAATCCCTCAAAGTCATTCATGAAGTTTGGAGTTAACTTCTTCCAAGCTCCTGTTAGTGTTGATATTTTGACCTCTTCCCATGAATCACAAATGTTCTTAATAGCATCTAGAATGGTGAATCTTTTCCAGAAGGTTTTCAATTAACTTTGCCCAGATCCATTAGAGGAATCACTCTCTATGGCAGCTATAGCCTTACAAAATGTAGTCCTTAAATAATAAGTCTTAAGTCAAAATGACTCCTTGATCCATGGGCTGCAGAGTGGATGTTGTGTCAGCAGGCATGAAAACAATGTTAATCTCATTGTATGTCTCAAGCACAGCTCTTGGGTGACCAGGTGCATTGTCATTGAGCAGTAACATTTTGAAAGGAATCTTTTTTTCTGAGCAATAGGTCTCACCAATGGGCTTAAAATATTCAGTAAACCATGTTGTAAGCAGATGTGCTGTCATCTAGGCTTTGTTTTTCCATTTATAGAGCACAGGCAGAGTAGACTTAGCATAATTCTTAAGGGCCCTAGGATTTTCAGAATGGTCAATGAGCATTGGCTTCAACTTAAAGTCACCCGCTGCATTAGCCCCTGACAAGGGAGTCAGCCTGTCCTTTGAATCTTTGAAGTCAGGCATTGACTTCTTTTCTCTAGCTACAAAAGTCCTAGATGGCATCTTCTTCCAATAGAAGACTGTTTCGTCTACATAGAAATCTGTTGTTTAGTGTGGCCACCTTCATTAATGATCTCAGCTAGATCTTCTGGAGAACTTGCTGCAGCCTTTACATCAGCACTTGCTGCTTCACGTTGAACTTGCATGTTATGGAGACAGCTTCTCTCCTTAAACCTCATGAACCAACCTCTGCTAGTTTTAGACTTTTCTTCTGCAGCATCCCCACCTCTCTCAGCCTTCACAGAATTGAAGAAAGTTAGGGCCTTGCTCCGGATTAGGCTTTGGCTTAAGGGGATGCTGTGGCTCGTTTGATCTTCTATCCAGACCACTAAAACTTTCTCCATATCAGCAATAAGGCTGTTTTGCTTTCTTATCATTTGTATGTTCACTGAAGTAACACTTTTCGTTTCCTTCAAGAACTTCTCCTTTGCATTCACAAGTTGGCTAACTGGCACAAGAGGCATAGCATTCAGCCTGTCTTGGCTTTTGACACGCCTTCCTCACTAAGCCTAATCATGTCTAGCTTTTGATTTCATGTGAGAGATGTGCAA